GATTTGCTAAAAAGTTTAAATGAAAGTTTAAAATATACATTATTTTTGTATTAGAATTTTTTTAGATTTATAAATATCAAAATTTTTTTCGTATTTCATTAACTATTTGTAAATAAAAATATCAAAGATATCAAAGAAATGAACAAATAATTTAAATTATCTTCTACTAACAATATTTTATTTTTTATTTAACTTTTATACAATAATTTATATGAATATTAAATTATAATATTTAAATTATAATTAAGAAATTATTTCATTTCGGATTATTTAGAGCAAAATCTCCATATGCTATTTACAATACACTCGATACTCTAGGTTACACGATACATAATATATAAGAACACTACTATGTATTTATACACTTAGTAAGTTTCAATTGCATCTATGAAAAATCTGAACTTATCATAGAATAAAATGATAAAATAATTATGAATTATTTTCATATTGAAGAATTAATTTTAGTAAAATGGAAATGAATTATTTCATCATTTCAATAAAGTGATTACAAAGGTATATAACAATAAAGTAATATAATAGTTCTTTCAAAATATAATATTAGGAAATAAGATCAAACAGCATTACTCAAAGAAATAAATATCGTAATATGTATCTTTACAATACAAATGCATATTTTTTTAATTTTTTATTAAAATCAAATTTTGGAACGATAATATATACACATGTACGAATGATGAAGGATACGTTATATACATTGTATAGTGTAAATTTGCTGCATTTATTGCAGGACGTAGAAAAGGGTGAACTTCATTCGAACGTTGCTGGTCTCTCGCCGTCGATCTGTTCACGGCCGACGTCTTCGTCACGGACGTCGACGTCGGCCGAGAGCAGGGTCGAGCTCGAGGACAAGCTAAGGAACAGTCGCAACAGGACTAATGTATCGAATATTGCGGTGGAAGTGGAAATCGGAACGTCGAACAATGAACCAATAGGTACGTTGAATGTAACTGTGAGAACGGAACTGGAATCATATGTAGATATATCGAACCGAACATTGTATGTGTATACGTACATGCGTATGTTGTATACAGGAGCGGGGACAGACGTGATCACGACGACAACAACGCCAAAGACGAGGACGCGCACGGTAAGAGGAACAGAAAGAAGTGCAGCTAACCGGTGGAAGGCAGTCGGTCGCCTGCTTCGCCGCCTGGCACTCATCATGTTTGTGATATCTAGTTTGGTTGCCTGTTTGGCTCTCCTATCTATATATGCAGGTCCCATTTTCCTCGTGCAGCTACTAGTCGTGATTCTCGTTGCGTATTTAGTAGCCGGAGGACGTTTCCGATGGTTCTATATCGCTTTGAAAACAGCACCCAGAGATTTCATGTAAGTACATATTTTACTTTGATCCAACTCATTCTCGTACTTTTTAACAATACACAGATGGCCAATAGTTTGGATTTCGATTTATTCTAAATCCAGTCGATAAAAGCGGAAATTGGGTCAGTGTTTGACTTTCGAAGTTGGTCTTCTCGCATGGCCAGTCAGTCGAGTTTCTCTCTACTTCTTTCGAAGATGGTATATAAGTATTTATGTATTATCGGTCATGTTTATAACGATCAAAAAACACATGAACTTATTACTGAAATTTTGAATGATTTTTTAGATGAAGAAATTTAAATAGATTGTTAATGAAAAATTTGATATATTCTAATTAACAATATATAATATTAAAAATAAGAATTATAATATTTTTTAAAAAATAATTTTTAATTTTTTTTAAAAATAAGTTTTTAAAATGTTAATTATTTTATTAAAATGTGAAATTTTGAATGTATAATTTCAACATATAATACATTTCATAAACATGAACTCTCTTTCTCAATTGAAGATTGTAATTGTAATAAAATATTTTTAAAATTTAAAATATTATATATTTATGTGATTTAAAAAAATATTATTTTTAAAATAATATTATATATAATATTTATTTAAAATAATATTTAGAGGAAAAATTAATGTATATCGGAAATGAGGCTCAGTTTTCGTGTGAAAAATAATTCGTAAAATAAATATTTCCGACCTTCGAGAGTTAATGTTTATATTACTCTTATAAAATAATTGTTCAATTTTCATCAATATGATTCTCTAGGGAAGTGAACTGCTCTAGGTAATTGAAATTTATATCCCTCACTTATAACTAACAATTGTTTTAACAACAAATGATAATTTTATAATGCTAAAAAAATAAGGTTAAAAAATTTTAAAACAATTAAAAACTTTGTTATTCTTATTAGAATTTAATGTGTTTTTATTTTCATTGTTACAACAAATGTTATAAATGTTTATAAATTGACATATTTTTCGTTTTAAAATATTTAATCTTATTAAAAGAAAACTTTTATTATCTCATTTTTTTTATTTACATTTTATATGGTGTGTGCGCGACGTAATACAAAAATTTAATAATTTATGAAGTCAACAATAAAAGTTTAATTTCAACTTCCATTGTGAAAGAATTACAAAAGAAATTCATTTTTAGAGTGGCGCATTTAGCTACTACAATCGTTTCACAATAATGTCATTAAATGATGTATACGTTGTATCCTTTAATGTACGAGATAGTAGATGCACTATTGTGACATATGGATGATAGGTTGAAAAAAAAATTTTCAACTTATAATCTGTAATCCTTTTTTTTTTGTTGTAAAACATAGAAGGAATAATTCTTTTAGTTTCTTCATTTTCTTTGCACAATTCATTGTTGGTCTGACATTTATTGTTTTTTAAAATTATATTTTTTTTTTATGATGACAGTATATTTAAGTTGGATTGTTGGATTGTTAAAATACGATATAAAAGAGATTTTACAAAAAAAACTTTATGATGTTAAAAAAATTTTACATCATAAAAATTTTTTTCCATTCTTGTATTATTTTTTTTTAATTTTTTAAATCTAATTTTATTTTTGCATTTAAAAAACTAAAATATTTTAAAAAAATATCTAATATTTTCACTATTTAGTAACGAAAATTACTATACTTTTTTTCAAATTATCAAGATTAAAGATACTATTATCAAAAAATTGACTTGCATTATTATATTTTATTACATTGCACGATATTATTGGATTATATTTATATATATATTGGATATATATTATATATATTGGATATATATTGGATATATATTATATATATATTGGACATAATTTATATATACATAATGCATTGTAAAAATAAAATTAAAAATTTTATTTTAAATTATTTAATTGGAAAAAAATATGAAACTTACATATAATTGTTTGCTAAATTTCAATATAAATAATTACATTTTTTTTTTTTTAATTAATCGTAATGCAGTTGTGTGAATTTTTGTTTTTTCTATCCTGTATGATAACAAGGAATATTTAAATATGCAATTTATTAAAAAATTAAAATTGAAATGTAGATTTTTGATTCATATGGTTAAATTTCTTAATTATTCTTAAACTTTCTTAAATTATTTATCAATTATTAATTATTTATCAATTATAAATAAATTATTTATTAATTATCAATCAATATAAATTTTATTCAAAATAAAACAATTTAATATAAAATAAATGCTAATCATTATGGTCTATATATATGTATATTCATAAGATTTATCAAATTATTGAAATTATTGAATATTTTATAATTTGCGAAATAAAATTTCGCAAAACTTTATTTCCTTAATGGAAGACTCCCTTCTTCTTGAAAAAAAATTGTAAGATTTTTTCTTTTGTAAAATATAAATTGAAATAAAATATAAATATAGAAAAATTAAAATTTTGATTTATAAATTAAAAAGTTTAGAATTTACATAAGTATATTTATATATAATATTTCTTTTTTACTGTGGATATACAAAAAAATATCTGTTTAAGAAAATATTTATTATTCAAAACAAAAATATTATTATTATAAAAATTTAATAATATTTTTTCGTTATAAAAATGTTAATTATGATCATCAATTTTTTTACTTTTCTGACGTAGATCAGTTTCATAAATTAATACTTATTATTTGGTCATACATTATTAATGAACAATGTTAAATCAGTCATTAAATATGACTGATTTAAATGAAAAATCAAAGCATTTAAAATTCCAAAATCAAAATTTTTCTGTACAAAAGAAACGTAATAAAATAAATAATAAAATAAAATAATAGAAAAACATAATATATAAATATAAATGTATTTATATATTTTTACTATTTGATAGTAATTAATAATATTCTGAAAGAGCAAATACTATTTATATTGTAAAATACTATTTATTAACAACGACATGATCGCTAATATATAATAAAAATTATTATTTTAATCGTTAATCCATTTTAAAAAATATTAATTATTTATTTATGTAAACTAAATTATTTATGTTATAATCATTTTTATGAATATATTTTTATGAAAATCCGATAAAAAATTATCTATTATCATTGATAAATCTAATGAAATTTAAGATTATAATTATATTTCATCATAAATAATTTTCGATCAAGGAAGCTTGATTTTTTTTCTTTCTAAAGAAAATATTATGGGCAACTTGGATCACAATCCAAGTGCAATAGTGTCGTAGGATCTAGTTTATATTATTATATAAAACTGGTATTGTTTACAAGCACTTGTGATAAGAACTCGAAACTTCTATTACTTGGATCTCTTTCTGCGGTGAATTTAGTGGCTTCCTGTTAGTGCATATCGTAATTTATTTTCTCGATATTAATTTTTTTTGATAAAAAGACAATTTTTTTTGATAAGAAAATATAATATGGATAAATAATATTTGATAAGAATACCTATTATAGAAAAATATATTTAAACAATTTGATACAATATAGAAATGTTATTAGAAAGAAAAATACAAGATGATAAATTATGTTTTCTTGTAATTAAAGATAAATTAATTTGATTATATGTTATTTATTAAATTATTAAATTATATTTATGTATGTATGATTTATATAAATCATAATTTTATTTAAATTTTAAATCAATTTAAAAATAAAAAATATTAACATTTAAAGATAAAAAATAAAAAAATAAATTTTTCCATAAAAAATTTTAATTCATATGATTTATTTTTTTATTTTTGATGCATATCAAAATAATAATTTTTTTTTTGTTATATGTAATTCGTGAAAGCATTAGATGAGTTGAACAACACATAACATGATTCAAAATAAACCCTTCACTGACGAGCAATGTACTTATATATGTATAATGCAAGTATATAAGTACAATTTCTTTATATATTCAGAAACTATATGAAATTATTTTGTTTTCAAAATAACTTATTACAATTTCATTATAGATTAAATTTATTCTAATTTAATATAAGTAATATATAAAT